TTTTTTTGAGGCAGTCTTGCTCTGTCACCCAGGCTGGAGGCAGTGGCACAATCTCGGCTCACTGCATCCTCTGCCTCCCAGGTTGGAGCAATTCAGCCTCAGCCACCCAAGTAACTGGGATTACAGGTGTGTGCCACCACACCCAGCTAATTTTTGTATTTTTAGTAGAGACAGGGTTTCACCATGTTGGCCAGGCTGGTCTCAAGTGATCCACCGTCGTTGGCCTCCCAAAGTGCTGGGATTACAGGAGTGAGCCGCCCCGCCCGGCTGAGTTGTTTTTACTTTTAATGAGGAAGATATGTAATTGTTAATACATGAACAGATGAAGAAACACAAATGAGCTATTAACATTGTGATATAAAGGATATACTCTGGCTTTTCCAAAAAAAAAAAAAGATCGCCTATTATACTACACATTTTCATTTTTTTTTTAAATGTTGAAATTAAGTTAAAAAAATTCTGTTAACCTTCAACTCAGATCATATTTCTACTAAGGAAAACAAAGAAAAGAAAAAATGGCCAGGCACAGTGGCTCACGCCTGTAATCCCGGCACTTTGGGAGGCCGAAGCGAGTGGATCACGAGGTCAGAAGTTCAAGATGAGCTTGACCAAGATGGTGAAACCCCATCTCTACTAAAAATACAAAAATTAGCCAAGCAAGATGGCAGGCGCCTGTAATTCCAGCTATTCTGGAGGCTGAGGCAGGAGAATTGCTTGAATCCAGGCGCCAGAGGTTGCAGTGAGCCCAGATTGTGTCACTGCACTCCAGCCTCGGCGAGAGAGTGAGACTCCATATCAGAGAGAGAAAGAGAGAGAGAGAAAGAATAAGATTAGTACCTCAAATGACAAGAGAAGACAAATTATAAAAAGAATAAAAGGATGCAGACATGCCTGCTTACAGCCAAAAAGAAGTCAGAATGTGGAATTAAAGTTTCCAAAAATTTGAAACTGGAAGCATTTCTCTCTTTTCCTTTATAAATTTAATGGACAAAAATATCAGCAAATGTATATTTTCAGTTAAACATTTTAACCAGCTACTTATGATTTCAAAGGCAGCTCAGGCATCAGAATACATATGCTTTGTATAGCATAGATTATAGTGGTCTATAAAAGATAATGGAGAATCTGTTTTGCAGAATTTAAAGAGAATGGTGATTAACAGTTTCAGTCTTAGAAGCATCCCCCAAAACCATTATTTATTGGAGTTCAAAGTCATGACATATCTAATTATGGTTTGAAGTTTTAAAAATACCCCCCCCCCAAAATGCTAAACTTAAGGAACAAATCTACACACACGCAT